CAACGGCCGATGCTAAGCCGATCCGAAGCCAGGAGCCTCTTCCAGGTCTCCCACGCGGGTGCAGGTTCCCAAAGCCTTGGGCTGTCCTCGACTGCTTTCCCAGGCCACAGACAGGGAGCTGGAAGGGAAGCGGGGCTGCCGGGATTAGAACCGGCGCCCATATGGGATCCCGGGAGTGCAAGGTGAGGACCTTAAGCACTTGCGCCACCGCGCCGGGCCCTATTTTTTTTTCTTATGGCTTCAAGTTCTGTAAAGCAGTGATCCATTGAATTGACCCAAAACAGGAGAATCATGGGCATGTGCTGTGGGAATTAAGATGCTGTTTATCCCAAAGTGCATCCCATATCAGAGTTCAAGGCCAACACTGCTTCAACCCCCACCTCCTCCCAGTGTCTCCCACTGCAGGCGGCAAGTGATGGCTCCAGCAAATGAATTCCTGCCTCTTGCAACGGATGAAATTTTGAAACTACTTTAGCTATTGTAGTAAACCAATGTGTGGAAAATCTTAAAAAAAAAAATTCTCTCTTCTCTCATTTCTCCTTCCCCCACTTCCTCTCTGCATTTAAAACAAATGCAATTTTTTAATGTTTAGAAGGATGTGAGCAGAAAAAAAGAAATACTACTTATATTTCTTATTATGTGCACATCTAAACAATTCAATCTACATAGAATGGCAGCAAGGAGAGGCTGAGCCGGGCAGCAAGGGACAGGGCAGGTTGGATAATGGTCTCCAAATCAGTTAGAGGAAAGAAAAGTTTCTACTGCTGCCCAGTGCACTGGGCTGACTGCACTTCACAGTAAGCTGTTTTATTTGCTGAATGAGTACAAGGGAAGAGTGCTGGGGTTCGAATCGTAACATAATGACTGAGAAGTCCTGGGTGACCTTGATTGGTCAGAACTGATCGTTTCCCTAGGTGGAAATGTCACACTGTGCCCTATTAGATCATCAGTGTCCATTTAAAAATCCATGTCTTAAATAGTAAACTGAGAAAAGGCATGTGTGAGTGAAAATATGGCTAGGGCAATCTGACTCAGCAAGAGGCGCCGATCACTGAAAATGGATCTGCGCCCCAGACAAGCCCCAATCCCGACCTTAACACCTCTTCCACTCCACGTTCTTATATCAACATTTCTGCGACACCTGTCATACGCTGTTGTCTGTGCCTCTCCTTTTCAGATCCAACTTAAATCTGTAAGCATCGGTTTTCCTACACTGTGCTTTTCTTAAATGGAAACCTTGGTATAGCGTTGATACGCACAGGCAGGTCACTTCACAACACCATAACTATAGGGCATAGTGGGCTGGGCCTCTGCATGCAGTGCTGGAATCCCACATGGGCACCGGTTTATGTCCCAGCTACAGGTTCTTCATAACAAAGTAACTGTGGGGTGTAGTGGGCTGGGCCTCTGCATGCAGTGCTGGAATCCCACATGGGCACCAGTTTAGGTCCCAGCTGCTCTACTTCAGCTCCAACTCTGTGCATATGGCTTGGGAAGGCAGTGGAAGATAGTTCCAGCCCTTGGATCCTTGCACCCATTTGGGAGAGAGTTTTCTAAGAAGGGGTATAAACTCATCTGCATTAGTTTCCATTTTGCTAAGTGTCCCTATATTCAAACTTAGACTATTGTCGGTACCCACTTATCTTGCCTCAATATAATAGTCAGTGATTCATTATGAAATTCAATCAAATCTTCTAGTGTTTTTTTTCCACAAAAGAGCCTAATAAAGCATCAGTGACTACTTTTATATTTTATTTCCTAGTCTGTAACACTGATCCTATTATTTCTCAGAGTAATGTATTTTTATCAATATTGGTAATTGCTCCCTATGGAAGGTGAGGTTTTATTTTTGGATGGTACTTAAGACACTGTGTTCATAAGTCTGCAATAAACAATAAATCTTCCTTTAAAATAAGTTTTATTTTTATTTAAAAAAATTGATTTTGAGGCCTGGCACGGTAGCCTAGTGGCTAAAGTCCTCACCTTGAACATGCTGGGATCCCATGTGGGTACCTGTTCATATCCCGGCCTCCGGCCTCCATCCAGCTCCCTGCTTGTGGTCTGGGAAAGCAGTGGAAAATGGCCCAAAGCCTTGGGAGCCTACACCTGCTTGGGAGACCCAGAGGAGGCTTGTGGCTCCTGGCTTCAGATCAGCCCAGCTCCGACCATTGCGCTCACTTGGGTAGTAAATCAAGGAACGACAGATCTTTTTCTCCATCTCTCCTCCTCTCTCTATGTAGATTTGACTTTGCAATAAAAACAAATAAATCTTAAAAAAAAAAAAAAAGTAGATTTTCCTTATTAAAGAAAGTGATCTCCATCTAGTGGACATATTGTTACATTACAACCGACAAAGAAAAAAAAAAGTTCCTAGACTATCCAGATAACTAATACTGAGGCTAAAATGTTTAATTTTTAAAATAGCTAGCAACATTTGTTACAAAACATATAGCATATAGTCTTTGTAACTTAAGCCTTGTATAATTAAACTGGAAATGAAAATAATTTTTTTAAAATATCCTGGTTATTATTTGGTACTTACATAATTTAACTCAGGAAAACTAAGAATAACTCTTGGAGCTGAGATTTTTCTGTTTGTGCTTTGTAAGGAGCAATTGTTTCCTTTTTAACAGTAAAAGTCACATTGAAGGGAAATCAATGTAATCATACATAAGCGCACATTTTCACATCGTTGTGCTGAAGAATTATCACTGTCCTTTGAAAGAGAATTCCATCCCGACGTTGCCCCAATTATTGAGTCTTTAATGTTTTCTAGCTATGTATTGAATGCCTTTCAAAATCTTTTAATAATATCACTATGAGAAATTCTCAGCTAGTCCAGCCCAAATTAATCTTATCTCCTTTCTTTTTGTATCTCAGTGTGCCCATAACAGATAGTCAATAAATGCTTTTTAAGTGTTTCCCAGAAGAGCTTGCCTGAGAGCTCTAGCAAGCCTGTTAAATAAAGAACCTGTTACCCTTTCCAGCCTTCTTCAAGATTGCCCAAGTCCTGCACCCACAGTGCCTACGCTGCCCAGGGGGAGCAGGGACCTTTGTCATAGTAGCCAACATAGAGCAGGGGTCTTCAAAAAGTTCATGGAAATGTATATTATCAAAAACTGTATCTATACATCATTTTTTTTTCACGCAAAACCTTATCTTTTAATTGGCTCTTTCTGTAAGCATTTGAATGTTGCATTTGAGCCTTGCATGTGTGGTTTGTATAATTATGCAACAGAGCCCAGAGGAGTTCAGAATCATTGGATGATTAAAGTCAGTCAGCTCAGCGACTTTGGTCAATTGCCTTTTCTAGAATCTGGTATCCTTGTCTGCGAAATGAACGTTAAAAAAAGAAGATCCTTTATGGTCTTTCTAGGAGTAATAAAGACACTGTGAGGTGACACAATTGTATGTCATTTGAAATTATTCTGAGTGACTGGCCAAGCTGGGTGCTAAGTCTTTGTTTTCTCTCCAGAGTCAGTGTTCAATGTCGTGGGTTCATAACCAATCAACGGAACATCAAAGTCATAACTTCCACTCTGGCTTCCGATCTTTGGGTCCCAATGCTGTTGACTAATAAATTCAACAAAAATCTAAGAATTATAAAAATGATCTGGTTAATAGTTTGATCAACGGTTCCGAGTGGTAAAATGTCCACGATAACCACACTTGAATCCATTTGTTCATTTCTTCATTCAACAATTGTCTTTCTAAGCCACATACCTGCCAGGCTATCTTGCACTTTCAACATCTTCTCCTACGAACAGATAAGTCTTCAAGTTGATACTGATTGATAATTCACTAGGAAGACTTTCTATGAAAAGTTTATTTAAACTGCAACAAGGACATTAAGAACTAGGTGTTTGTGTTTTCTTTTATTCTCAACGCTAAAGCTGTGCTATCAAGCACAGTGCCTTTTTATCATTTCCTTGTTCTCTCGCACCGCTTCGTAAAGATGTTTGAAATTCCATGTGAGCTGCTAAGAATGTTCCTAGTCTGCCTTTTCAGATTTCACAATCTAGAATGCATAACTACAGCTTTCCATTCATTGTAGATTTTATGAAGAGGTGGCCTGACAGGGTTTTGTGAGCATTGCATAAAGTTCTAGTGAGGTCAAGAGCATCCTTTGGGGGTAAGGCTATGTCTTCAAGGATGCACCTGAATCAAATGGGGAAGAGAGAGGTTGAATATGGGGTGTAGGCTGGGGGGTGGGATCAGTGACAAACAACAATGAGGGGGTAGAATTGAAGTGGAGTGTGATGGACCTCATGGAAGACAGGTGCAAGTTGAGTATAAAAAAAAATGTACTCTATCGTGAGGGGGAAAGTGAGTTACTGAGGGAGCTTGAACTAGAAAATGACTTATTCAGCATTGTAAGAAGAATGACTTGGTGCAGGGCAGAAAATGGGTTCAAAAGATTACCATAAAAGCTGGGTTAAGAGAACCCTAAGTTTATTATATTAGAGGTGGAAACCATAGGTATTGATGAAGAGGTAAATGTGATGGAGTGAGGGAGGCCTCGGTGTAGGGCAGTGATGACTTTAGACACAGAATAAATTGTACTGAGATATTGAATGAATTACCACGCATTTGTTATTTGCCAAAAAGAAATTCTGTACTCACAAGAGCGGATTATGTACAATGGTTCCTTTTTAACTGAAGTTCATTTTTAAAGAAGAGCCTTTGCTTTCTGAACAAACCTCAAAAGTTTTGGGAAAATGGAATATAAACATTTTCAATGGGTTTTTGGAAGGACCCTCATTCTTCTGCCCAATTGGTAGTAGTTTAGAGAAAGGAGTGTGTGAAGGTCCATTTATCTTCTTATTTTTGTGGACTTCAGTATTATCTTTCTTTAATCTTTTGTGGTTTTTTTTTATGTCAAGAACCAGCTGTAAATGTACTATGTCTATGTACTAATTCCTAAGCTTAATATGAACCTTCGCTGCAACAGAAGGCTGCGAGCATTCACAGCAATGTCATTCCCTCTGTTTCATTCACAGCTTTGATGTGGACAATGGCACATCTACGGGACGGAGTCCCTTGGATCCCATGACCAGCCCAGGATCTGGGCTCATTCTCCAAGCAAATTTTGTCCACAGCCAACGCCGGGAGTCCTTCCTGTATCGATCCGACAGCGACTATGACCTCTCTCCAAAGTCCATGTCCCGGAACTCCTCCATTGCCAGTGATATGTAAGTGAAAGCACAGGCAGGGGTGTGGGGGGGGAACTGCTGAGAAAAGCAAGTGGGAGTTACTGCTGGGTTGATATGCAATAAATCCATTTTTAAAGACTTTTTTTTTTGGTCGACACTCTGCAAACCCAGAAAGAATAATGCAAAGCAACCATTAGGCTGAAATGAATGGTATCGTTGAGTAGAATACGCTCTCACTCTCAATGAGAAACCTATATGTCTCCTTACTATATGTTTGCTCAGAAAAGTACAAATTATATTTTAATGGAATCTTAACTTTTAAAACATTAGCTTGAATCCTTATGGGACTGAGCTTTCACTACCCAACTGCAATGACTATTTCCTGATATTTGAACGAGCTCTTGGCTCTGAAAAATCCTTGAGATATTACAAGGCTTTGTTTAATGCATCTCAACTGATGCACGCACAGAAGTTGGCACTTGTTTGCCAGGTCATTTGCGAGATCCTTTGAGGCTTTGCCCAAATGAAACGATTATTCTAAAGAGCAATTGCTAGAGGCAAACACAGAACACGTAAGTTGGACTTGAATATCATTTAAGACGTGGCACAGCTCCGTGAGTGAGGCTGACAGGCAGATTTGCAGATCACATAAACATCATTAGCTCATCCTCTCAGCACATCCCAGCATTCACAGAATTTCAGTGTCCAGGGAGCTTCTGGGTAGTCTCTTTCTCTCACTTAATATGTGAATTCTGTGTGTGTGTGTGTGTGTGTGTGTGTGTGTGTGTGTATGAGAGAGAGAGAGAGAGACTTGTCTCTATGTAGTCTCAGTCTCACTACTTTTCTCCTGTAAATCTGGACGTTTGTCTAATAACACTCACCATCTTCGCATGACATCATATCAAAAACTAGGAGATGACAGCCCCTCTCACAGGAATTAGGCTTTATGGGCCAATAGGTCTCCTGCTGTACTTGCTGCCCAAACATCTCATCGGGATATTGCAACAGATCTAAATGGGGTTTGAGAAATGCAGTTGGGGCTTTACTCATTTTTATAGCTCGTAGTTCTTGGTGACCATTTTTTAAGTTGTATTAATGATGCTCGTGTATCATCTGGGTTAAACGTTTTCCTTTCCTAAGAAGCCCTGTTTCTGTGTTATTTTCATCCCAATTTCACAGACTCAGCATACAGAACCTTGATTTAATCATCTGCACCTACATGAAAACACTCCTTGAGCAACTGTGGCACATAGTCAAAGCTCTTGTTCCCTAAGGTAGTGGAGGTCTGGCATTTAGGGCATTGTGGTAGCATTAGATATGTAACAACCTTAACACATCTGCAGAGTGCTGCAGGGGCATTATTTCTCACCTAAAGGAAGGGTAGGGAAAATAGCAGGTTGGATAACATTTGCAGGATGTAAGGCATGTCAAATCATGGCTCAGTAAAGGAATGGCAATCTCCTTGGCAGGGTTTGGCCTGGTCGTGTTCCTTGTTTTCAATGCAATCTGATTACTGTACTTGAATACTTGCCTAATGAAATGACTGCAGGGAAGTGTTCGTCAAACTCCACAGGAGCAAAACAGCCTAGGTCAAAGGAGTGGCATCAGAATGAAGACATTGATCCAAGTTTAAGAGGGAAGAGGCTTGAGGCTCACAGAACACTTCTTGCCCATGTGTGTATGTGTATATATGCATATGTGTTTGTGTGCACGTGTGCATATGTGTGTATTTGTGTATATGTGTGTGTGTATGTATGTATATATGTGTGTGTGTTTGTGTATTGAGGGACACTTAGTGGAGAATACTCAATTCTTGAATCAAACAGAATGCTTCAGGTTTGACTCCAAATGAGGAAATAAATCATCATGTCGACATGAAAAATAAAGGACTGAGAGACAATATGGCAGAGAATAACTAATGAAGGTGGCCTTACAGGATACAGAGAAAAGGAACAAGACAGTAGTTAGAAGGGACAGGGATAAAGAGCAGAAGAAAGAGTCTGGAGGGTCAGGAGAAATTACAAGACCAACTACCTTCTGTAGCAGCTAGGTCTTTGGGTGACAATTGGGTAAAATGTCTAAAGTAGTGGGATTGGATACTCAGAGGATGGAGGAGTGGATTGACAGTAGAGATCTGAGCAAGTGCAGGTGTCTGTAGAGAAGATTGATGATGGGGGCGGGGGCAGGGAGCAACATTGCAGTCAATTGGGTAAAGTCGCTAATGGATAATGTCATTGGTGCTGGATCAATTTCCAGCTCTTCCTGTTTTGATCCAGCTCCCTATGAATGGCCTGGAAAAGCAACAGAAGATGACCAAAGTGCATACACCCTTCCCACCCATGTGGGGGACCAGGAAGAAGCTCCTGGTTCCTAGCTTTAGCCCCACCTTGCTTGTCGCAGTCATCTGGGCAGTAAACCAGTGGATGGCAGCTTGTTTCTGTAACTGACTTTCTAATAAATACATAGATGTAACAACAACAAAAAGAATGTTGATGAGTGGAGCGGAGTGAAAGAATTGAGGCTGCTTCAGGGAGAATGAAGCTTCCAGGGGAGGTACTATGATCTGAGAGGAGTAAGGCTGAGCAAAGTCTCAAAAGATAGAAACTGAAAGTGCAAAGCAAAAAAAGAGTTCAAGATGGAGATGTGGATAATGACAGAAATATGAAGGTCCTTCAAAAGACTCATGGAAAATAGAATTGGAAGATAAATGGAAAAATACAAAAATATAAACTTTCTCAACATAATCTCCATGCAGTTCAAAATACTTTTCAAAAAAGACTTATTTTATTATTTTTATTGGAAAGTCAGATTTACAGAGACGAGAGACAGAGAGAAAGATCTTCCATCCATTGGTTCACTCCCCAACTGGCAGCAATTGTCAGAGCTAAGCCTATCTGAAGCCAGAAATTTCTTCCAGGTCTCCCATGCTGGTGCAGAGTCCCAAGGCTTTGAGCACAAGCAGAGAGCAGGATGGGAAGTTGGGCAAACAGAATATGAATCAGCACCTGTATGGGATCCTGGTGCATGCAAGGCAAGGGTTTAGCCGCTTGGTTGTCACACCAGGCCCCTCAAAATATTTTTGTAAGCAATGATCCCAACTATTTACAACCTATTATCTAACCATTCTTAGTGTCTCAAACTAAATTCTCTTCAGACATGTAATGACAAGCTAGTGCGTTATTTTAGCTCCAAAACAATTTAGCAGTGATTTTTCATAATATGTGTTTTTTCATGACCTTTTGAAGACTGTCTCCCCTACTTCCCCCATCCCTCATGCCCCTCCATTTCCCCCATCCCCCTCCATGTTATCATCAGCTACAGTAAAGAGATGCTTCTTGGGGGAAAAGTACTATATTCTTTAAGAAATGGGAAGGAGAAAAGACCAAATGAAAAAGCAATCTATAAATGTGGAGATGGAGGGGTAAAATGTTTACAGAATTCACATCCTATGATCTCCAGTTTATTCTTCAAAGTAGAGGGTGTAGCCATCTATAATCAAAGGAGAGAGGAATAAAGAAGCTGGCAACGCAAGGGAAAGGCTTATGAGAGCCATTATGCAGATCAGAAAAGAGAATAGAGTAGCAGAATATTGAATAGCCTGAAAGATGAAAAGCAATTACGTTGAATGAAAGCCATGCAGTTCAACCTCTTCAAAGGTACAATAGCTTTGGTGTGGAGCCTGGGGGAAGCTCCCAGTGAGTTAGTGAAGTCTGTAGTTACATATCCTTTTTCTCTAAAGTTTAAGCAACTTGATTTTGAGATACTGACATATAGATTTTTTTTTCATACACTGCACTTAAATTTGTTAAGATTAGCATGCATATGCATTTTAGGAAAAGCCTATAATCTCCCATATTTAAATTATGCATTCATTTCCACAAAACGCTTCAAAGGATGGCTTCATCTTACTCCAAACCAATTCAAGAGTTTCTTCACTTGACCAGATTCAAGCAATAACGGCAGATTGATTCATGTTGCAAAGTCCGTAAGTGGTTGAGAATGAATGCCTTGACATGTTCAGCTCTTTCGTTTCCCCCTAGATATTCATGTTGGGACAATGAGATTTTCCTTCTACACTGACTCTATACAGCCTGCTTTACCTGGATGAGGATGCTTCAGGGAAAGCACAGTGTGTAGAATAAAGAATTACTAATTCCGTGTTAACCTGAAAGCATTTACATTTCTACTGTGGTAGAGACAAATACTATTCAAAGTGGTTTTTGATTTGCATGATCTACCTCTGAACATGTCTGAGCAAAATGTAGCATGGGCCATTAAGGATTAAGCATCAATTTGTAAGGAGTGTTTAAAAAAGCAACATGAATTCTGTTGATATTGAAGCTAGAATGAATACCAAATGTACGGTTCAGCTTGAGTAGAAGAATGGTAAAATCACTGATACTTTGTGAAAAGTTTATGGCTGCAATTCCCTAAGGAAATTGCCAGTTTACAAATGGGTAAATTCACTTTTACAAACCCATTTATTTTATCTTTTTGAAAAGCAGTGACAGAGTCAGAAAGAGAGAGAGACCTTCCATGCACTGGCTCATTTCCCATTAGTTGCAATGGCCAAGGGTGGCACCAGGCCAAAGCCAGGAGACATGAACTCCATAAGGGTCTCCTGCATGGGTAGAAGGGATCCGTATACTTGGGCCATTTTCTCTCGCTTTCTCAACTGCATTAGCAGGGAACTGGTTCAAAAGTGGAGCAGCCGGAACCTGAACTAGTGCTCTATATGGGATGCTGGCATTACAGATGTGGCTTCACATCTCATCTTACAAAAGGAATAAGACTACGTTGAAGGTAAAACCTAAAAGGCTAGACTGTGTACAAGTACTGTACAATCAGTCTGTACAGTATGTATTTTTCTCATTTTTTGCATCTCTTCATTTGACTCCTCACGTGATCATGCATAAATCTCATGTTTTGGCCTTACCACACTCATGAAAATGCTGGGCCAATCATCCAGTGTCTATATTTTTTATAAGATTTATTTTATTTTCATTGGAAAGTCAGATATACAGAGAGGAGGAGAAACA